GAGAGGCGCCGCGTTCGCGAGCCAAGCTTTCCCCCTTCCACTGCTTTCGCTGTCGTGGATGGGGCCCGATGTGCTTCCAGGGCCGCATCTCCCCCTCTGGGGATGTGGCTAGTGCGGGGCATTTGACAACTGGGCAAGCAGGGTCAAGTGCCGAGGATGTGGAAATTCCTGCCCCCAACGCGTGCTCGTGGCGGCCCAAGCTGCAGCCAACCGCGCCAAGGGAGGTGGAAAGGGGAGCCCAGCTGCTGCCAATGGAGGGAAGGGTCGTTGGGCCAATGGCCCGCCCGGTGGTCCAGGTGACGCCCAGGCCAAGACCATCCAAGCCATGCAGAAGCAGTTGGACGCCCTGCTCAAGGACAAGGAGAAGGACAACAAGCAGCAAGTTCAGTCTGCCCCTCCAGGCAGTGGCGGCGGCAGCGGCAACGGTGGCCCGTCCTTCAAGGAGGTCATCAACTTCCTGCAGGCCAAGGGCATCCAGGGCGAGCTGGTGGCCTCTGTCACAGCTGCGCAGCAGCGTGAAGTCGCCGAGCACCCGCCCTCCGTGGTCACGGCTCGCTGGCGGGTCGAGAACCTGCGGAAGAAGAACGAGAAGCTCGAGCAGCAGCTACGCAAGCTTCAAGAGCGTCGAGCTGCCCTCGATGAGGAAGAGGCAGCCATCAAGGCCTCTGTGGAGTCGCTTCGCCGAGACCTGTCACAAGCTGAAGGTGTCTATGCCAAGGTGTCGGCCACTGACCTCGGGGACTTGGTCAAGATCACCGGGGCCGCCTTGGACGAGTCGCTCCACGAAGACGCCGAGGTCAGGGCAGCCCTGGCCGTGCTGGACAAGCGCCAGAAGGAAGCGGTGGCCGCTCGAGGTGCTCCTGCTCAGCATCCTGGCGGTCCAGGCGGCAACGTTCCTCCTGGCGGCGATGCAGCTTCAGGAGCTCGCAGTGCCGAAGCATCCCAGCAGCTGATGGAGATGGAGATGACATCGACATGGAGCTGCTGGGCCAAGACGACATCGACATCGAGGCGCGTACAGAAGACCTCAGGAAGGCCGCTGAGGAGCTCAGGCAAGCTTCCCCAGGAGAAGCTCAGGATGCCGCCAAGCGCAAGTACGCCCAGGCTGCCGCAGCCTTGGGGATCACACGTGCGCGGAGGCTTTGACGACCTCGAGCGCTTCTGGGACCACAACGTCGTGGACGTGGACTGGTCGGAGGAGATCGGCTTCGCGGTGCCGTCGCTGCTCCCGCGGCCTGTGCAGGCCCTCTCGGGGGCTTTGGCTGAGCCGATCAGGCGTCGTGGGGGCTTGGCCCAGGCCGGCGCTGGAGAAGCTCTTGACCTCCAGGCTTGGCCTGCGCTGGGGCTGCACGTGGCTCGGCCACGACGGGGCCTCGGCCCGAAGGGCAGGGGGGCAGGGGATTCAGCCCCCGTTCGTCGAACCCCCCTGCCCGCATGCACGGGGAGTTCGAGTGCCTGCAGCGGCCCTTCGGCGTCATCGGTATTGCAGGCTCCTGCGGGGGCTCCCCAACTGGCCCGCTCCTCGGGGTTGGGGACACGGGCAGCTCAGAGGGCGTCCCCATCTTCGGCAGCGGGGTCGGCTTCTTCGGCTGCGACGGCTTGTTCTTCGCGTGGCGTTAGGACGCAACAGTCGTCGCCACCTGCCCTTCCCACCCCCAGGGCACCCTTTCCACGGGAGGCGGGGGACTCAGCGCGTGGGGAGGGGGGGCAGGATGTTTTGCTGGCGCAGCTTCCAGACGCAGAAGTTAGATTGGCTGGCAGTGTGCGTGGCCACCCTTGTCCCCAAGTGGAGCCCGATGCGGATTCGAAAATACTTCGGTTGAAATCCGACGGGAGGGCGGAAGTACCTCCCGCTCGTAATCTTCTTGCGGACGATCGTGACTCTGGTGTAGCGCGGGGATCTGCTGACTTGTGCGTTTTTGGAGCCAATGTCAACAGCTGGTCTACGGCAGACACTGTAGTGAACTGGGTCCGAGATCAAGCAGACGTCGGAGGGTCTGGGGCGGCTTCTTGGGGTTTGGTCCAAAGCAAGTTCCAGGTGGTCACGCTCCAGGAGACAAGGTTGAAGTCCCCCGACAAGATCATTTCGGCCCAGAGTTGGGCCCGCAGGAATGGGTACCAGGTGTCCCTCGGGAAGGCCCTCAGCACTGGCGACGGGCCCCTGCAAAGCTCTGGAGGAGTCGGTATTTTGGTCGCTGGGGAGATTGCTTCGAGGCCCTTGGATCTTCCAGGATTGGGCAGGTTCGACGGGAGGATCGTAGGTCGGGTCATCAATGCGGGGTTCGACCAGGGCCTTGAGATCTACAGTGTCTATCTCGTCAACGACATAGGCGTGACGGGCGAGAATCTAGAGATTTTGGAAGTTTTGGGAGCGCTTCTATTGTGCAGTGAGCGTCCGTGGGTTGTGCAAGGTGATTGGAATTTCACGCCCGCGGCTCTCCAGCTATCAGGTTGGATACAGCATGTGCACGGTGTGCTAGCCGCTACTGGCCAGGCAACCTGCTCGGCCTGTGCTCCTAGGACTGCCATGGGAGAAGATAATGAGGAGGAGGAGCTGACGGAGCATGACGGAGGAGGAAGGGAGCTTGACTACTTCGTCGTGTCATCGGCTATCAGTTCATGCATCAAAGATGTCCAGGCTATCCGAGGAGCGCCGCTTTTTCCCCATTGCCCTGTGCTGCTTCGGTTGGGGAACCTCTGCCAGACGGCTGTGGTCCAGCAGCAGACGCGTTTCAAGCCGTTCAGCACCGCGCTCATGGGGCCGCTGCCGCAGGAAAGGGACATCCAATGGAGCGACCCTCTAGACTCAGATTTGGACTCGCTAGCTCGGGAGTGGTTCGGGGAAGCCGAAGCTCGCCTGGTTGAAATTCATGGGATAAGTGATCTGAAAGGGTACGTTGGTCGCTCCGCTGGGCCCCAGTCTCGGAAAGTTCCCTTAGCTGCGCTGCTAGAGCGAGATCACCGTCGGCGTTTTTCGAAGCAGACTGTCTGCTGGATCTCGTTCGAGGCCCTGCTCAAGAAGGCAAAAGCTATCAGTGCTGGGAACCCAGGCGCCAAGGGGAGAGCTCTTTTGGGATCCTGGAAGCTTAAGCTGTTCGACATTTTAGAGGACCTCCAGCTGACTGAAGAGGGGCCCACCAAGGCCCAGCTGCACACCATCGTTATGGCGGCATCGGGTGAAGGACCTTGGAACGACGACGTCAATGGGGCCATCTGCAAAGAGTGCACTCGTCGCCAGAGGCTGGACGCGGCTTCGCTGCTGGCAAAGTGGAAGGAATGGGCCAAGAGTGCCGTCTCAGGAGGTGGTAAAGCGGCTCATGCCTTCTCCAAGCAACAGGTCTCGAGTGTTTTTTTTCGCGAGGTATGTCAGATGATCCTCGGCTTCCAGTGGCTGGTCAGGCCGCAGTGCAAGAGCTTGTCGATGTGTGGCATCCGATGTGGTTTCGAGCTGGCCGCGGGCCCGCACCGAGCTCCTGGGAAGTTCCTGCCGACGAGCCTGCCCTTTCCCCGCTCAGACTGGAGGATTTACACCGAGTTTGCAGGATGTACGGGCCCGCGGCGGGCCTAGGCTGGGATGGATTTCACCCGAGGTGGGTATTGCAGCTGCCCGAAAGTTACCAGTTTCGGCTTCTGGAGATTTTGACGCTCTTCGAGGTTGACCCTGGGGCCTTCTTGATGTTCCTGACCAATGTGGTTTTCTTGGACAAACCGACGGGAGGGGTCAGGCCGATCGGATTGCTCTGCCTTTTCATGAAGCTCTGGAGCCGTTTGAGGCAGCCGTATTGCCGCTCATGGGAAAAGTCCCACGTGTACGAGTTTTTCTGGGGCTCTGGGCCCGACACTACGTGCGAGAGGGCTGGATGGGTCCACAACTTGCTCGGGGCTCATTGTCGTAAAGCAGGTTTCGAATCAGCGTCGGCTCTCTTGGACTTGGCTAAGTTCTATGAGAATGTTAACCACGGGGACCTACTGATTGCAGCTAAACGGTTTGGCTTCCCAGTTAGGCTGGTCAAAGCTTACTGTACCATCTATGCAGGCTACCGTGTGCTTCTTTATGGGGGAGCTTCGTCGGCCGTCGTCGAATCGAACGGGGCGATCGTAGCTGGGTGCTCGGGGGCCACGACTTTCGCCAAGATGTTGCTACTAGGACCGCTCTTGGAGGCCCGTGAGAGCAGGAACTTGTTGTATGTGCGCAATGTGGTGGACGACATCACTGTTCAGTGTTGCGGGCCCAAGCTTCAGGTGGCGGCCCAACTGGCTGGTGGAGTAGAGTCTCTGATCAAGAGCTTCAAGCAGCTGCAGCTTCCTGTGGCGTTTAAGAAGTGTGCCTACCTTTGCTCGAAGGAGGTTGAGGCGCACCTGTCCAAGGCCTGGTCCCTTCCCACCTCTTGCCGCACCGACACGGCGCGGAATCTTGGGACCAACGCTACCTTGGGGGGGCCTCCGCAGGATTGGAATTCAAAACTCAAGGTTTGCTGGTGCATCGCGCAGGGCCAGGAGGCTCAAGATATTGCAAGGAGCTGGAGCCGACATCGGTATGGTTCACAGGATGGGGCCCGTGGCATCGGCCCTCTGGGGATCCTCGGTCTCTGGGGTGGCCCCCACAAAAATGGCTGGGCTCCGTATTGGTGCTGCTAGTTCCCTAGGCAGGCTCCCTAAAGGTGCTTCGGTTGGGCTCAGGATGTACACGTACGGGCTCGGGGCCAAGGTAGACCCTCTGGTGGTTTACGTGGGGCACGTTCTTTTCATGTGGGCTACTGCAGTTTGGGAAGCTGCCCCTCACGTTCAGGTGTTGGCCAATACCATGAGGGTCTCGATCGCCAAGTTTCAGAATTCAGCTCAGCCCTGGAGGTCAGCGTCTTCCCCCAGCGACGTCGCGCTTTTAACGTTGCGGGGCATAGGCTGGGACTTTGTAGACCAGCACACCATCAAAGATGACTTGAATGTGGTGCATGACTTGTTCAGGCTCTCCCCGATGCAGGTCAGGACTATGGTCAGGCAAGGTGCTGTGCGAGCGTCAGATAGACATGCCCTTCACTTGCAGAATGGCCTTGATGGGCCACCTGTGTACCCTATCTTCTGGGATGGTATTTCCAGGTTGTTCAGGGAGAAGTCTGAAGCCTGGGGGAAGCACCATCAGAGATGTTTAAGAGGTTTGGTCTCGGGAGTTCATTGGCCCCAAGCCCGACTTCATGCTCGCAACCTTCACGATGATGATCAGTGTCAAGTGTGCAAGGGGGCCCCAGGTACGTTGTGGCACCGTCAGTACGAGTGCCCTGCGCATGAAGTCCTGCGGCGAGACCATGCGAGTGTTCACTTGTGTAGGTGTGCGCAGAGAGTGAAGCAGTTCGGGCCGCTGATGGCGGAGAGGTTCGCGAGGTGCATCTTTCCTCACCCTCGCTCGCTCTTCGACGTAGAGGAGCCCACGCAAGCTGTTCACTGGCACGAGAGGCCCGAGACGGGGCTATTGACGGGGTTGCTCTTCCTGGACGGGTCGGCTAAATACATGGGCCTCGATGGGCTCACTCGGGCTGGTTGGAGTATCGTGTCGGTCGACAGGTTTGGGGAGTTGATCTCGGCGGCCTACGGTCCAGTTCCTCTGAGTGCGGCCCCGCAGCAAACTAGTAAAGACGGGGAAGACTATGCTGTATATATGCTTACGCAAGTAGGTCTTCCCCCGTTTCAATGCTATATTGATTGCCAGAGCACTCTGGATTCGCTGGCTCGGGGCCCTGGGTTCGCGGAGGGCCCTGGGGCCCCCCGTGGTCATCTGTGGGGCCCCGTGTGGAGCTCGTTTACTCTCAGCGATTTCGAGTGTTACAAGACGCTCGGCCACGCCACTGCGGCCGACGTCGAGGCTGGCAGAAGCAGTGTTTGGGAAAGACGGGCCAATGGGCTCGCAGATAAGTTCGCTAAATTAGGAGCTGAGTGTCACGGGGTCAGCGACGATGAGGCCAGCCTGTACAGAGGCCTCAGGTGCCTCGCCCGCGAGGCCTGCAGGTGGGCTGGATCGGTCGAGGTGCTGATGTCCAATGGGCCCCGTGACTCAACGGGCCTTGTGCCCAGGTCGACAGGCAGCGATGGCCAGTGGCAGCACTCACAAGACGATGATGCCCACGGCCAGGCCCTGGCCGACGATCAAGGGAGGTGGGAGGTTCTTCGGACTTGGGGGAGGAGTGGCGGTCATTCTCTCGGCAAGTTTTTCGGGCCAACGGTCATGCGTTTTTGGCCTGCCCTGTCTTGGAACCTCCTGGAAACCCCAGGGGTAGGATCCAGTTTTGTTGTCGGTGTGGATCGTTTTTCTCTGGGGCTCCCAATGTTGGAGCTAAAGGCCTGTGCAGGCCCAAATCGGCGACGGGCGGAATTAATGACCAGCTGAGAAGGATTCGGCAGGGCAAGTTTCCCTCGTACAAGAAGGACCTGAAGAATTTAACTCTGGGGGCTCACGTGAGCCTTAGCCTCGCCGAGCGGAGGGTCTTGGCTCAGTCGCTGGAAGAGGATGGCCAGGCCCCCCAGGGAGTTTCAGGTCCCGCAACTGTCGGCTCCGCGGTGGGCTTCGCCCCGCGAGAGCAGGTTTTGGATTCGTTCGGCCTTGCTGAGTCGGATTTACCCTGGGTCAAGGACCTAGGCGCCGCCTCCCTCCGAGCCTCGAACTGCGGTTTCGAGTCAGACTCGGAGGCTTCCGATTTCGGCTGAACGTGGAGGTGATCTGGCTTCAGGCCCGTCCCCAACACCTCCCCCTCCCCCTCCCCCTCCTCCTCCTCCTCCTCCTCCTCCTCCTCCCCCCCTCCCCCTCCTTAATTCTCCCTCCTCTCCTCCTCCTCTCCTCCTTCTCCTCCTCCTCCTCCCTTCTCTCTCCCCCTTCTCCTCCTCCTCCTTCTCCTCCTCTCCTCCTCCTCCTCCCTCCTCCTCCTCCTACCTCCTCCCGTCCTCCTCCCCCTCCTCCTGCCTCGCTCCTCTTCTCCCTCCTCCTCCTCCTCCTCCCCTCCTCCTCCCCTCCTCCTCCTCCTCCTTCTTCGCTCCTCCTCCTCCTTCTCCTCCTCTTCCTCCTCCTCCTCCTCTCCCTCTCTCCTCTCTCCTTCTCCTTCTCCTCCTCCGCCTCCTCTTCTCCTCCTCCTCCCCCTCCTCCCCCTCCTCCTAGCTCCTCCTCCTCCTTCCCCTCCTCCTCCTCCTCCTCCTCCCCTCCTCCTCCTCCTCCTTCTCCTCCTCCTCTTCCCCTCGTCCTCCCCTCCTCATCTCCTCTCCTCCCTCCTCCTCCTCCTCCTCCTCCTCCTCCTCCTCCTCCTCCTCCTCCTCCTCCTCCTCCTCCTCGTGCTCCTCTCCCTCCCACTGTCGTCGCCCCTCCGTGGGGCGATCCACGCCGCCGCTCCCCCCTCGGAGGCGGTGGCCAGCCGCTGCGCCGGTGGCGCGCTGCGCGGCGCGCCCGCGAGGGAGGCGCTGGCGGTGCGTTGGGCCTTCGGGCTGCTGGGGCGCAGGCGCCGAGCGCGGCGAAGCCCAGCACAGCACGATGGGCCCATTTTCCACCGCCACTGCCATAGGCAGGAGAGGGCGAGGAGGAGGAGGAGGAGGAGGAGGAGGAGGAGGAGGAGGAGGAGGAGATGGAGGAGGAGGAGGAGGCGGAGGAGGAGGCGGCGGAGGAGGAAGGTGCCGACCACGGAGAAGCCCAGGAGGAAAAGGTATCCATACCTCTAAGTCGGGCGCGGGCGCCGACCGCGGCGAAGCCCAGCTCACAGCACGGGAGGAGAAGGTACCCAGAGCTCCAACCTATGGAACAACATCGAGACGGAAATTCTTCGCGATCGTCGGCCTCCAGGGGCCCTCGCCGGGCCTCGGGACCGTCAAGAGACGGCGCAGGATGAAGAGCCGGTCCTGGGGAATGGGTCCTGGCTGCTGGGGCGCAGGCGCCGGCCACGGCGAAGCCCAGCACATCACGGGAGGAGAAGGCAAGGCTCGAGCTAAACGGTGTTTTGGCAATTTCGTGGACCGTTTTCGTTTTGACTTCGTTTTGCAGCAAATCTGGAGCGAAGACAATACTAGGGATGACGAACACGAAACGAAACCGGAAAACACTGTTGAACTCGAGCCCTGGGAGAAGGTACCTATATTCTTAAGTCGGGCAAGTTCTTCTGCAGGAGGAATATGCAAAAGGAGTAAGAACATACTCTGGGGACGATTTTTTGTTTGGTTATGTTTTTCAGCATTTCGTGATTAGTTGGGGGTATTTCTGGGTATTTTTTATTTTTCGCCCAAAAGCCGCCAGTGGGTGGACATGCCCGACCTAACCATACTCAGCCACGCGCAGAGGTGGGTGGGTGGGGGGGGGAGGCCTTCTTAGAAGCACTCCTTTTTCTTCGAGGCCGCGGGCCTTTTCTACAGATGTAAGGCCCGCGCCTTCTGAGAAGCAGCCTGTTTCTAAGAAGCCCTCCCCCCTCCCCCAATCCCTTTTTGCGCGCCGCCAACAGGTGCCGACCGCGGAGAAGCCCAGCACATCACAGGAGGAAAATATACCCATACCTCTAAGTCGGGCCTGTCCCTTTGCAAGAGGAGTATTCAAACAAAAAGTTATTAGGCATTCGCAGCCATGCTGGAAGTGCACCATCTTCGTGCGGGCACGAGAGAGGTGGCCTCGGGGAACGCAGGGGGATGCATGCGGCCGTCTGCGAGTAGAGGGCGGGGCGGCCCCTTATTTGAATTTGAACGTAACCCCACCAGACAGCTCTTGGCAGTCTTTCACGTCTCAACGTGCCAGTGGGCACGGTGGCGGATGCGTGTTTTTTTCTTGTGCCCGACGCGTGCTCGATGTGCGTGGATTCGACTCGGATCCGCCTTGGGCTCGACGCGGATTCGGCGAGTCCGACACTGATTCGACACGGATTCGGCGACGATTGGGGCCCGACGGGACATACACGGTCATCCGAAGATGCAATATATTGGGGACGCGCATCAAGAAACCATCTGCTTTTCGTCAGGGTATCTTGGGTTTCTTCGCTCCTCGCGCTGCGCGGTGAGTTCCCGCAGCCGATGAAGGAGCTGCTGCGTTCAGGGTGCTTGCAAATTTCCCCTCAGGTGCACCTCGCGCACGGGTTCTCAGGGTTGGGTTTCTTGCGAAAGCTTCCTGCGGCCGCGCCCGCACTGTGTGTCTTGCCTCTTCCCCTTCCCTCCCTCTCCTCCTTGGGATGCAACTCCTGGTAGGTCAAACTCTGATTTTGCACTGGTCCGAGGTCCAGCTTAATCCGGCTTGATCCCGCTTAATCCCGCGCAATCCCGCTTAGTCCCGCTCAATCCGGCTGAATCCCGCTTAATCCGAGGTCCACTTCGGCGTAACAGCTCCCAAACAGGGGGCCACGTGTGAACCCTACCCCTACCCCCCACGATTTCTGAGGGGGAGGGTGGGGTAGGGTTCACATGTGGCCCCCTACCAAATGGGGCTTGATCCTCCTTACTCTTTCCGACGAACACCTCCCAGCAGTTGCCTCCTAGTGTCTGCCTTGCCTCTTCCCCTCCCCTCCCTCCCCTTCCTCGTCTGCCCCCCCGCGCCTGAGCTCGTTCGGCTTGACTTCCTGAGGCTTCGCCTCCCCCTGCCGCCTTGAGTGGCTAGGGGTTTCATGTTTCCAGGTTTTTTTTTTACCAGCCTGGAACATATCCCTATCCCTATGCTGGGCACCACCTCATCACGATGCCAACCTTAGGGATTCCCGTATTTTTTGAGGGCGAATCCCAAAGATTGTCGTCGCCTTTTGGCGTGTCAATCTTGGGGATAGGGACAAGTTCGAGGCTGGTAAAGGCTGCTCGCCCTCCAGTGGTGCAGTGCAGCCTGCCCCCCCCCGCACGGCCCCCGGGGCACGGAGCTCCCCAGGCGCGCCGGTCGACCGAGGGGCTCTGCTGCTGCTCCGCGCTTTTTCGCCGCTCCTCCCCGCCGCACGGCTTTTCCTTCCCCGCGCGTGCTGCTGTCGCAGTCGGGTCCTGCCAGCTCGAAACGCATGCCTCTCCCGGATTGTTTTCGGCGCTCTCCCTCCTCCCCTCGTCCCTCCTCCTCCTCCTCCTCCTCCTCCTCCTCCTCCTCCTCCTCCTCCTCCTCACCGCTTGTCCTCACAGGTGGAACCGATGCGTTTTTCACGGGATTTCGTATCGCATCAGCTGTCCGGCGACAGTGCGTTGGGCTAACTTTCTATTTGCCAATGCGCCGGTCGAGCGCAGGGCTTGTTTGGACCCTATCCTTACGTTTGGCATCACCTCGCCTCGATGTCGAGCTTGAGGGCTCCCTCGGTTTCTGAGGGCCTGTGCCCCAGACCGTCATCGCGCTTCTGGCCTGCCCAGCTTGGGGACAGGGATCGGTTCGAGGCTGGTCCACTGTCATGTCGCGCAGTGGGGCTGAGCAACGTTCCAAGCCTGCCCTGGCATCCTCGCCCATCCTCGGCCCATCCTCGGCGTCGTTCGCGGGGCAGCCCCGCGCAGACACGCGGGCACGGCCCTCCCAGGCTCCTGCACCTGGGAGGGAGGAGACGCGACACCAGCACAGCACCACCAGGGGGCCACCTCCAGCGAGGAGGTCCACGCTGCCTCCCCGAGTTGGAGGCCGGGGATGCCTCGCGCGCGAGGGAGGCCCGGGAGGCCCCCCTTACGCCCCCTCTCGCAGCTCCTCGCCCCGGTCGTGCGGGCGTCGCCGTGCCGTGCTCCTGGGCACCCCGTGCCGCGCCTCCTCGCGGCTCGGCACCGCTCGGCCGTGCGCACCTTTCCTCGGCGGTGGTCATTCGGGAGCAGCCTGAATCATTTCTAGGGGGCCGCAAGCGAACCCTACCCCTACCCCCCCCACGAATTCTGAGGGGGAGGGTGGGGTTCACTTCGTGCGAGAGCCCCCGAGCGAAGTGAAGTGATCCCCCTCAGAAATCGTGGAGGGTAGGGGCAGGGTTCGCACGTGGCCCCCCAATTCTGCGAACAAGCCACGCACGAAGCCGAAACAAAAAACACAGGACATGGACCTCCGAGCGATGGCCGGGCTGTGCGACCCGACTCTGACTGCACCCCGCCTGCCGCGCGAGCGCCGCGCGCCCCGCCCCTCCGCGGCCGCGGCAGGTGGGACGGGGCCGTGGAGCCCGTGCACTCGCACCTGCGGGGGCTGGGGCGCGCGCTGGACGCGCGGGCGGCGCGCGCCGAGGCCACGCCCCGGGGGGCCTCCGGCGCGGCAAGGTTCGCGTCGTGCCCGCGGCGTGTGCTTCTGCTCGGCGTCGAGCGGGTCGGGCGAAAGGGGGGGATTGGGAAAGGGGGGGTTACGAAATTTGCTGCATGTAGCCGGTTTCGGCCCCACCGAGGGGCCCCCCCTTCCTCGACACATGGCCGCCTCCGGCGCCGGGAGGCGCCGGGAAAAGCAGCTGCGTGAGCTGATTCTCACCCCCCCCCTTGGCTATCCCCCCCTTTCGCCCGACCCGAGCTTCTGCTCGGCGTCGAGCGGGTCGGGCGAGAGGGGGGGGGGCAGCTTTCGGGCCAGGGCCAGATCGGAACTCGGCCTCCCAGGAGTTTCGGGGGCGCACAGACATGGGTCTAGCGAGCCATGGAGTCGGCGCGCGGCCGCCGAAGCCATGGATCGGGGGAGCGCCTCGCTCGCCCGTCGCTAATCCGCGCCCCCCTAATCCATTCGGGCCGGGCGGAACGGGGGGGATAGCAAAGGGGGGCTTTCAGAATCAGCTCACGCAGCTGCTTTTCCCGGCGCCTCCCGGCGCAGGAGGCGGCCATGTGTCGAGGAGTGGGCCCCTCGGTGGGGCCGAAGCCATCTGCATGCAGCCAATGTTTGTAACCCTGCCTGTCCCAATCCCCCCCTTGCGTGCGGCCCGAGTGGAGCGAGGGGGGAATCCAGAAGGAGACTCCGAGGAGGAAGAGCTACCCATGCCGCTACCCTTTGCCCGCGTTCGCCTTCTTCGCCCTCCTGGTGAGGCTCTCGTCGCCACCGCTGGATTCGCCTCGAAAATCTGGTCAGAACGGACCCCGGGAGGTCCGGGGAGTAGCGGTATCGGATTTGTTGTTGGATGTCCCCAGAGAGGACCTTCTCGGAGGGCTCGGAAGGCCCACGGCCTTCTGGCAGGGTTCCTGAGCCTTCCCCGGAGACAGAGAGAACCTCTCAGAAGGCCAGAGGGCTTCTGAGACGTCTCGCCGCCTTCTGAGAAGGCTTTCTCCCTCTCACTTCCCCCCCTCGCTCGCCACCGATCTGTTGTAAGGAGGTGGGCCTGTCCGTCGGCCTGGCGGCTATGTGGTCGCCGCCGCCGCCCTGTCCCTCTGGTCCTGCCCGTCGGTCTGGCAGCTACGCTGTCGCCGGCGCCGCCCCGTCGCCGTCTGAGCCTGCGTTACTCTGCGTAACCTTTGGCGTCACTGTGCATCGTATGCCATCGCGGTGCGTCGCTTTCTTTGTGTTGCTTTACACTGCTGTACGTTGACTTGCACTGCTTTGCATTCTGTTGCCTTGCCTTGCGTTGCTTCGCGTCCGTTGTTCCATGTCCGGGCGATAGCGGGCGTTACCCCGAGGGGGAGAGGGGGGCCGGATCCCTGCGGGGTCATGCAGAACTGCCGACGGGAGGCTCTTTGCGATTTCCCGCCTCTGGGGGCCCTCGCCGGGCTTCGTGGGACGTCGGAGAACGACTCCGGACTCTGGACGCCCGAAATGGGTAGGGAAAGAATGGGTACGATGCCCAACAGCAGTTCCTGTTCATTTTGAACAGGACTCGCTGTCCACGCCGCCTCGGCCTGTGTCCATTCGAGACAGAAGGCCGCCTGCCCAACAGCGGCCGCAGTTGGTTTGGGACAACATTTGTTGTTGGGCATTGTACCCATTCTTTCCGTACTTATTTCGGGCGTCCAAACGGACGGGGAGCCCGTCCCGGCGAACGGGTTGAGACCTTCTGGGGGATCTACGTGGTTAAAAAAACATGACGTCGGGGGTCTGGGGGGAGGGGGGGGCGGGGGGCCGGCAACGTCAACTTTCGCGCTGGCGTTGTCTGGCGATGTCCAGGAATAGCCCGAAGTCGGCCCGAAGGTCAGCACACATCGTGGAATTACTGGGGGGAAGGGCCATCGAGGATAAAATAATTCCTGACCCTAATTAAGAACACATTGAAGACGTGGCCTCACTGAGGTCCTCGCCTTTGCATTGGGGATGATATTAACTGGACGGCTTGGCTGGATACATCTGCAAATATGTTTTCGGTCCTCCTACCTTTAGGTCTCCTCCCAAAGGGTCACGGGTCCTTGTGATTCGGAGGTGGATCGACCTCCTACCTTGACACGTCGATTAAGGAATTTGCCGCTTTCGGTCGCGAGAGGGCGTCGCGGCCGTCATTTTTGCGTGTCCAGGTCCGCCGGATTCGGTCCCAGGCCGTTTTCATTAAGGGGAGGTTTACTAAAGGGAGGTTTGTCCACCGCCGATAGGTCCCCTCCCGAAGCGTCTTTGTGATGCTAATCAGAGGGGGCGGCCGAGGCTGGTAACGTCAAGCAGTGGCGAAGCGGCCTGGCGTGCCTGCAGTCCTACCAACCAATGTTCTAATAACCTCTTGTGGTTTCACGAATTGCTGTTAGAACATGCCTTGCGGAGTCTGTCTTGGTTTATCACATCGGGTTCATGTTCTAAGAGCATTGTTGTTGCTGTTGTTATTAGGACATTCTTGGGTTCTAAGGAGATTCCGTGGTAGGGCTATAGGAATGCCGGGACGGTCGGCCCCTGCTCAATAACGGGCGCAATATCGCGAGACGTCGCATACCGCTCTCCAGACGCCTGGACCCCTCCCCGGGGACGGGCCCCGTGGTGCGGCCCAGGGAGCCGACCTTCTCCTCCCCGAGGTCCTGGCGTCTCAGGTGCCTCGAGATCGCCGAGGTCCCTGAGATCGAGCCCCGGGATCCTTGATCCTCAGATCCCTGAGTAGGGGGCCAGATGCGAACCCTACCCCTACCCCCCACGATTTCTGAGGGGGAGGGTGGGGTTCACTTCGCTCGGGAGCTCCCGAGCAAAGTGAACCCCACCCTCCCCCTCAGAAATCGTCTCCCGAGCGAAGTGAACCCCACCCTCCCCCTCAGAAATCGTGGGGGGTAGGGGTAGGGTTCGCATCCGGCCCCCTACTGAGATCCTGAGATCCAGCCCCGCGTTTCCGCCCTCCTTTCGGGCCCCGGGGCCAGCGCCGGCCGAGCGGGCTCGAAGACGCGGTGCAGAACGATGGCGGGCCCAGGGCTTTGGTCATGATGTTCCACGGTGCCGCGTTCTTTTGTCGAGGCGCCGGCTTTCCGTGCTGGATCTCTGGAGCAGAGCTGGACCTAAACCGCGTCTTGTCCGTCTCGTGGGCCGTTTTGTTGTTCGTTCCCTGTGTTGCATTCCGGGCAAGATCCCAGTTTCCCCCCCTTTCTCGGGCCTCCTGAGAGGCCCTCGTCGCCACCGCTGGATGCGCCTCGAAGTCCTGGTCAGAGCGCGCCCCTGGAGAGGTCCAGGGAGCAGCGGCATCGGCGCCCTTCGGTTTTTTCCCGAAGTCGGCGTTCTTCTCCATGTTGGGTCTCTGGAGCAGGGCTGGACCTAAGCTGTGTTTTGACCATCTCGTGTTAAGTCGGGCCTGTCCCTCCACAGTGGGAATCTTCAAACATAGTCAAACAAAGTCCTGGGGACTATTTTCTGACTATTTTGGAGCATTTTGGGAGTATTGTTTTGGTATGTTTAATCTTGCGCCCCAAACTATCCCTGTAGGGGGACAGGCCCGACCTGAATCTCGTGGGCCGTTTTGTCGTTCGTTCTGTGCTGCATTCCAGGCGAAGCGAAGGCACACCGAGGCAGGACTGAAACCAGAACGCTCTAATTATGGAGTCCCCCGGCCAGCCCCGTACACTAGACGGGGCGTAAACACACAGACGTAATTCATCTTATGATGTTCCAGCCTACTTTAGCCTGGACCACCAGAAAGAATTTCGAGCAACAGAAGCTGGAGGGTTTTCACGTGTCGGGCTCTGGGAGACTCGTCCGACCTTGTTTCGACACTGCTTTGACACTCTTTCGACACTTTTCCGGGTGCTCGGATTTTTTTCGGGGATGTGGTCCTTAAGTACGATGGGAGCAACATAATATGAATCGTCGATTCCCAGAAAATATGGGAAAGTATGGGAAGTGGGAGGGAAGACAAAAACTGGAAAAGTGTAGGAACATACGGGAAAGCTTGGGATTTGTGTTCGAATGTGTGTTTATTTGTGTGTCCCTGGGCCCCTTCAGCCGTCCAATCAGTGCTTGCACTAAAGGGGTCCTCGCGGAAGTTGAAGGATTTAACGACAGTTTCCCGCCGATTTTGGTCGCACGCTGGGTTCCCGGTTCCCGGTTCCGGGTTCCCGGGTTCCCGGTTCCCAGGCCGATTACGGTGGGCGGCGAGGTTCCCAGGTTCCCGGGTTCTTGGTCGGTTTTCTTGTCGATCGGTATCACCATTGCTCTCATTTCCCACCTCTCTATCGATCCCACCATCGATCTCACAATCGATCTCACAATCGATCTCGCAAGCGATCTCACTAGAGATCGCACGAGCGATCTAGCGATCGATCTCCCTATCGATCTCATTGAATCGATTCCACTCTCGGTCTCACGATCGACCTTACAATCGTCCCCTATCGATTCCACTATCGATCCCATTATCGATCTCACAATCGATCTCAAGATCCATATGGCTAATTTTCAAATCATCCACTGATTGGGTTTTCTCAGGTGTAATGATTTGTGTGTCCCTGGGCCCCTTCAACCGTCCACAAGGCGACTCGGGAGGCCAAGCTGGTCCCCAGAAGTGGGGCGCAACTTCGGGGGCCCTGACACCAGGGCATCGTGTCCCTGAGATCCGACGCTGCGAAAGCACTGCAACATCGCCAAAAAATCACGCCCAGAGCGCCGTACCGCGTCTTTCCGCGTCATTTTTCGAGGCGGATCGATCTGAGAGGGTCCCAGGGGCACTAGAAAGGCGAATGCGCCCAGCTGGAAAAGCTCGCAGGGCGTTCTGGAACGCTCTGAAGAGGCCGCGGCGCCCGAGACCAATCTCAGGGAGTCTTGATTTATCCTCGCCCGAATTTATCCTCGTCCTGGCTTCGTCTTGCTAAGCTGGGGGGGCTGTCTGTGCGCAGCCCGAAGCCCCGGCAGTCGCCCGGGCCACGGAGCCCGTGCGACTACGACGGCGACGACGACACGGACGAGGACTACGACGACGACGACGACGACGACCACGACGACAATTACGACGAAGCTGGTGACGACGACGATTTTCATTGCCGGTGTCTCCTCGCGATCTGGGGTATCGCGCCAGCTTACATCTCAAGAGGGAGCAACGCAGTTGTCTTAGACCAGACGGGGCAACCCCCTGTATCAGAGGCAGTAGCTCGACAACAGCTTCTCCTGCTACGGAAAACCGCCGGGTCGCCAGTAGGGAGCCCCCTAAGAGAGGCCACTTTCTGCCCCGGGTCCTTTCGGCCAGCTTCGGATAGGTGCGTGAAGAAAGCTGGCAGGCCGCGCGCGGGCTGGACGACCCAAGTGCTGCGTGCTGCCGGCGTAGCGGCCGGCGGCATTGCCAAGCTGACCCCACTCCTGAGTAGCGAAGCTTCCTGTCGGCCATTTGTCCGCACAGCGAAACGGTCAGCATAGCGCAGCGCTGTACATCTGTATTGTAGAATCAATGTAGTCAGCTGCAGATGTTCCCATCCAGTGTCCTACGCACCTCCGTGTGTATGACTCCTTGCTTGACGACGACGACGGCAGCGGCGACGACGACGACGACGACGACGAAGGCGGCGGCGGCGGCGGCGGCGGCGGCTGCGGCGGCGGCGTCCGCCGAGGCCGAGGAGCCCGCGCGGGACGCCGCGGGCCCTGGGCTGCGCGGCGCGCGCGCGGGGCCGGCCGCGCTGCCGGTGGTGCTGGGCGCTGCGGGCGGCGGCCGGCCGCGGCTGGCGGCGTCGGGGGAGGTCTTTTGGGCGGCGCCAGCCGTCCACAGCGTCGTTCTCCTCTGCCTGCTCCTGCCGCCTCCTGTTCTCCCTCCTCCCCCCTCCTCCTCCTCCCCAGCCTCCCCCCTTGAGTTGTCCGGATTCCTCCCTCATTGCCCCTCCGCCTCCTCCTCCTCGTCCTCCTTCTCCTCGTCCTCCTTCGCCTCGTCCTCCTCGTCCTCCTTCTCCTCCTTCTCCTCGTTCTCCTCGTCCTCCTCCTCCTCCTCCCTCCTCCATCTTCTCCTCCTCCTCCTCCTCCTCCTCCTCCTCCATCTTCTCCTCCTCCTCCTCCCTCCTCCTCCTCCTCCTCTCCTCCATCTCCATCTCCTCCTCCTCCTCCTCCTCCTCCTCCTCCTCCTCCTCCTCCCAGCCTGTCCTCCTTTCCCTCCTCGTACCCGTTCTCTTTGATCTCCTCCTCCTCCTCCTCCTCCTCCTCCTAGCCCTCCAGCGGTCTGGTCGCCGCGGCGGCAGCCCTTGGGGGGGAGAGGCCCAGTGGTCGATCCACCGAGGTTTTCGGGCGTCGTCGTCGCTTCGCTGCGGTTTCCTGCCTCGGGGTGCCCCCCAGCAGCTGCGCCTCGCCGAGGGCGTGCCGGGGGTGCCCAGGTCGTCCCCGTCGGCCAGTGGAGACCCCGGCGTTCCGGCGGCGCTGACCCTCGCGGCAACGCAGGTTGCTCCCACAACATGGGGATGGAGAGGAGGAGGAGGAGGAGGAGGAGGAGGAGGAGGAGGAGGAGGAGGAGGAGGAGGAGGAGGAGGAGGAGGCTGAAACTGAGAAGGAAGAGGAGGGGGGGGAGGAGGAAGAGGAGGCTCAGGAGGAGGAGGAGGAGGCTGAAGCTGAGAAGGAGGGGGAGGAGGAGGAGGAGGAGGAGGAGGAGGAGGAGGAGGAGGAGGAGAAGGTCTTCGGGCGGCGCAGACCCTCACCTCGGCCCCCGAGGCCCCCCGCGACAACGAGGGTCTTCTTAAGGTTTTCGTCCTCGGGGGGCCCTCGCCTCGTCAAAACACGACTCTGGATTCAATACCTACGGGTCCTGGGGAATGGGTCAAGACCCCTGGGGATGCTCGGTCTGCGCCGACCCTCGAGGAGCCTTGACAATCCGAGGAGGAGAGGGCACCGATGCCGCTGCCCCTGCCTCGATCTCGCCTTGTTTGGGGCCTCCGGGGATTCGCCTTGAAATCCCTGTCAGTACCTCGAGATCCCGAGGAGGAGAGGGCACCGATGCCGCTGCCCCTGCCTCGACTTCGCCTTCTTTGGAGCCTCCAGGGAGGCCCTCGTCGCAGCCGCTGGATTCGCCTTGAAATCTCTGTCAGTACGCACCCCGGGAGAGGTCCGGGGAGCAGCTGTCTCGGTTTTGGTTTCTCCGGAGATCTTTGGCGTTCTTTTTTTCGGGCCAGACATTTTCGCCAGATCGATCGGGCTCGAAGAATATAGATCGGGTCTAGAGCTTTGGTTGAGATGTTCTCGATGTTCAATTTTTTCGTGCCGTCGGATCTCAGCGTAGGCGCGTGAACCCAGAATTCCAACGTATTTCGACCTTCGCCGGACCCATGACCGTCAAACAAATGGCTCAGGATGCAAAGCTGGTCCCCAGGATAGGGTCGGGACATTGGACCAAAACCATTATACCGAATCTCCGTGGATCAAGGAACGCGGATCAGCGACGTGTCCCGCTTCTGCGCAATCGGGAACACGCAAGACCAGAGGTCGCCAGAACCCCGGCTTGCCAAAGCTTTTTGTGGCCCGTCTTCTGGTTGCATTTTTTGTGGCCTCTCGGGGCCTTCTCGGGGCCTTACGGCCCGCAGCTTCAGTTCTTTTCTGCAGCACAAGCCATTCGCCTTCGGGCACATAGTCAACTCTTCTTCTTTGAATCCTGCGGAGCTTTATCCCGAGACGGCAAGAGACCCAGCTGTCAAACAGTTTTGTCTAACAGACCTGGCGTTCCATGTGGAGAGAAAGAAAGTAAACAAACACATTATTGGGAAGGTCCTTGGGGCTCTCCTGGGGCATGCCGAGGGCTTCTCTGGATGTCTTGGGGCCATGCCTTGGAGCGCTCCTGGACCGTCTCTCGGAGGCCTTGGGTCATGCCGAGGGCCTCTTGGGGCCCCCTTCGCCGGCCTCTTGGGGCCCCGTTGGGCGGGTTCACCATCTTCAGGAGGGGGAAAAACACAGACACAATTCATCGTCGACTCCCCAGAAAATATGGGAAACTATGGGACGGGGTGGGGAAGGCAAACACGCAGAAAATATGGGAACATATGGGGAATCTTTTTATTTGTGTGTATTTATTTGTGTGTCGCCCCTTCACATCTCTCAGAGGCCCATATGACATACCCGAGCAGCGCCCAGCGGCGTCCAGTGGCGCCCAGCAGCGTCCAGTGGCGCCTTGGAAACGGGGGGTCCGGGCACCTGAGCACCTCGAAAACCCTTTGCCTTCCTACAGTCGGGCCGCTGAAGAAGGAACCCTTTTCGTTTGGGAGGGGCTCCCTGTTCCTTAGTTGTTTCGCAGTGCTCCTTGGGTTTTCCTGAGGTTTTCCATGGAAAATTTGAGTTTAACTTATGGGAAAAAGAGACCTCGTTCCTTATTTATCGTTCCGTAGGTCAACGCCCCGACTGTACTCGAAGCACTGGCCTACGCGCTCGAATTCGACCCCCGCGCGGCCCCATCAGAGCCGCGCACCACGGGTCCCTCTTGCGTGCGGGGGGGCACCCAGTTGCGCGCCGTCGACCTCGGCGACCCCACTGCGGGGCCCCAGGCGCCACCCGACGACCATGACATCACATGTGGTTTTTCCACGCACGAGCTGGCAAACGATGCGACGGCAACGACCCCAGACCTCCTCGGGCCATGAACATATCATGACGGGATGGTCTTCTCTAATTTTCGGCCTCAGGGGGCACTAACTGGGCCTCGGGATCGTCAAACAACGATTGAGGATGAGAGATCGGAATGGGTCGATACATCTGAGGCTCGACGCGATCAAACAAAACATGACGTTGGGCGTTCGGGACTGCTTACATTAGGAAACTACGGGCTGAGCGGGTGTAACTAGCGCGGCACGTGGTGATATACGAGCGTGGGCTCGCAGACGTGAGCTCACCGTCGCAAGCACTACGCTCGCTTGCACGCACGCTGGCACCAAGCGCAAACAAACGTCCAACGCAGACCGGTTAGGTCCTCGTGAACCAACGAGCCCAGCCTCCCATATACGATAGATGCGCCCCGAAGTGCCCCGACCTCGGCTCAGACCGCCAGGCCGTGCACCGCCCGCTCGCAGTGGGCAAGGCCGCAAGCCCAGCACGCCGACGGACACGACGCCAACGAAAGCGAGCTCACCAGCAACCTCCCCGACTTCACGACGACGATTACCAGCAGAATTTGCGAAAATACAAGACGCTTGCGCACATTTCGAACAATAACACTTGCACCGGCTCAGCAAGACTAGCAGGACTTATGGAGACCCACAGGAGGGACCCCCCTCCCCTGTTTGCGACGACGAGGCCACACGACAACTACACGCACTCCTCACGCAGCGCAGGAACACGCGGCAGACCGACACAGCCGCCAGGACAAGTCTGAGCAAGCGTATCTCACGACAGCACCGGGCGATCAAGAGAGCTCAACACGACACGCTGCCCTGAGTGATACCATCAACAGTTTCTGCGGCCGCAGAAGAATTCTCGGGATCAAGACTAACACCAAGAGGAAGTACTTTGTACCAGCCATAAAGACAAGGATGCCACCGACGAGACAGACCGACATGGGATTGTAGATACCTTCGCGGACTTCTACGAAGTTGTGTACCGGCACCTTGCAGAGACGGCCTGGCCAGTGCACGGAATTATTCCAAATTCCCAAAAGAACGTCGCACACCGATTTCGACAAGACATTCCATCTTTCACATGCGACGACTTGCAACAAGCTGCGAGACACTTCACGAACGCAAAGTCCACGGACACGGCCAGATATACTGCGGAGCGTCTGAAAGCAGGAGGAGGCACAATCGAGACACATGTGCTGATGCTCTTCAGCGACAAATTATCGCCAGAGCGGACACCGCCAGAACATGGAGGCACAACAACATCAGCGTCATATAAATGTCTAGCGACCCCCAATTTCCGAACAACTACAGACCCAACACCATCATAACCACACCGTGCAAGCCCATGTCACGACTACTTCGAAACCAACTGGATGCAATCTCCGACACGCAACAATCACCCGACCAAGCTGGTTTTCGAATCGCACTTCCACAGAGGACCACCTGTTTACTGCGACGCTGTCGTACGAACAATCCTACGAGTGGCAACGCTCACTATAGATGGCTGCAATCAGGTTCAAGAGTGATTTCAACTGCGTAGACCACCAATTCCTTCGGGACACACTGAGGCAGCGACATGTGCTTGAACCTTTCATTTGCTTGCTACAGAAGTTCCAGGACGTCTTAAGCAGAGGTCAACATCGATCGTGGTGCTTGAAAAGGAGACCCGCTCAACCCTTTCTCGTTCAATGCTCTACCCGAGCACGTATTGCAACGAATCAAGCCAACGTGGGCACGAGACGGCTTTGTCATAGAGCTGGGCCACGCGCAGTCTACACTCCGGACCATGTTGCGATTTGCTGACGATTTTCTTCGATTGGGCCGCAATTTGCGGCAACCGAAGTGTATTGCGGAGGCCTTACGGCCGGTGCTGCCGACCCTGAAGACGGCGACGGCGAGGACGACGGGTGTTGAGGAGCAGGTGGCGGAGGACGCTAGGGAGCAGGAGGGGTGAGGAGGAGGAGGAGGAGGAGGAGGAGGAGGAGGAGGAGGAGGAGGAGGAGGAGGAGAGGGAGGAGGAGGTGTGAGGGGGGAGGAGGAGGACGAGGGGGGGGGGGAGAGGGACGAGGAGGGGATGACGAGGGAGGGGGGGAGAGCAGGGGGGAGAGCGAGACGAGCAGGGGCGCCCGCGCCGAACCGCCCGATGGGGGAGTCCTATCTGCCCCGGGACCCCCCCAGGACCCCCCCCCGGACCTCCCCCCGGCGCCCCCCCCCCCGGCGGGGAAGAGACCAGAGGGAAGACCCAGAGATCCAACGCATTGAAAAATCAAGACGGAGGTTTTTCGCACATTTCGGCCCCTTGGGGCCCTCGCCGGGCCTCGCGACCGTCGAAAAACGACGCAGGATGAAAAACCGGTCCTGGGGAATGGGTCGAGACTTCCGTGGACCGCGCATTGACAAAAAGCACGACATGGATCCCTGGGGGGCCTCCCTTCGACTCAGCTATCACGTTGCTGAATTTCGCTGTGGCTGGCGCGCTCGAGGAGGAGGGCCCGGTGAAAGCTGGGGGAGCGGCGACGAGCGTAGGGAAAAGGGGGGGGACGCGGCGAAGGCGACGACGACGACAACGACCACGACGACGACGACAACGACGACGACGACGAGTCAAACGGAACAGCCTCTCCTACACGCCGACAGGGTCGGCGGATTTTGAGGGATTTCAAGCACGCAGCCTCTCAATGCGGACTCGGGCTACACCCGATAGGGGGGAAGTCCGATGGGGGGGAAGTCCGAGGGGGGCAGGTCTTCTCAGAAAAGTCGGCGGAGCCTTCAGAAGCCCTGGTGGCCTTCCGAGAAGCTGCTCCGTCTGCGAAGAAGTGCCAGAGCGAGGAGGAGGAGGAGAAGGAGGAGGAGGAGGAGGAGGCCTCCCCCGCCTTCTGAGAAGGCCCACGCCCTCTGCCTTCCCCCCCGGGGCTCGCCGCCGAGTCAAGTTACGTCGGGCCTGCCCCCCTACAGGGGGACTTTTGACGAAAAAATTAAAGATACCCCGAAAATGCCCAAAAAAGATCAAAGCATCTTCCAAACATAGTCCCCAGACGATTTCTGGAATATCTGTGGTTTCGTCGACAATCCCCCCTCGTAGGTGGACACGCCCAACTCAAGAGCAAAGGTCCCCAGCGTCGCGCTGGACCTCGGCGACATCCTGGTGGTCCAGAAGCCGCCGGGCTGGGAGGCGGAGCGCACCGGCGCGGACGGCGCGGCGGTGGTCGACCTGGGCCTGGCGAGGCAGATCCCGGACTTCCTGCGCTCGCTGGAGGTCGCAGGCGGCGAAGTGCGAACCCTACAGTCGAGGCGCTGACCTAAGGAACCCTAAATAAGGAACGAGGCCCCTGTTTTCCATGAGCTGAGCTTCGATGTCGTATCGAAAACCTCAGGGAAGTCCAAGACCAGCTGTGAAACAATGAAGGAACACGGAGCCCCTCCCCAACGAAAAGGGTTCCTTCTTCAGGGCCCCGACTGTAGCCTCGCCGGTGGGCGGTTCAGGCAACTCGATGGGCGGCGGGGCAGAGTTTGGGATTCCTTGAGCACGTGGCGAAGCCCGAGCCATGACCCCGACACGCATCGATTCAGGAGAATCGATGGTTGGTTGGGGCAGGGTTCGGGTCGCAGGTGGTACGGATGCGGGTTGTGCACAGAGCCCCCCCAGGTGTCCCAGCCAGGGCTGGACCTAAACGATGTTCTGCTGGACTTCGGCTGTGTTTTGTTTTTCGTTTTGGCAGGGAGCTACAGGAAAACAGGTAGAGCAGAACGAACAACAACGTTCAGGTCCAGCCTTGCTCCCAGCTGAGCGGCGCACACAAACGGGTGCGGCTGCGCGGACACTCGCGCTCAAGCCGTTCGCGTAAGGTGGCGTGTGAGCGCCCTCGTCTCCAGTGCAGCATGCCGCGCCGGTGGCTCGCGTACGCCGCGGCGTAATGTCGCTGTGCCATCGTGCGTGAGCGCCACTTTTTCTCGTCGCTCAGCCGGCCTCAACATCAGTCAGGAGGAGAAAATACACACAGACACAATTAATCGTCGATTCCCAGAAATATAGAAAAATATGGGCAGTGGGGGGGAAGACAGAAACCCAGAAAATATGGGAAAATATGGGGAACATTTGTATTTGTGTGTATTTGTTTGTGTGTCCTGGGGCTCCTTCAATCAGGGGAGGAAGAGGAACGAATACGTCTTCTCGCCCTGGAGAGTTCTCGTCGCCACGGCCGGATTCTCTCTTTGGAGTGCTGGTCAGAACGCGCCCCAGGAGAGGTCCGAGGGGGTAGCGGTATTGGTAATGGGGGATGACGATTAATAAATGACCGGGGGTCGTGTTCACGCGGCGGCGCCCGGGATGACGATTAGAAAAAACCGGCCGCGGGCTGGAAAACTAGTTTTTAAATCGTTCTCTTCGGGTCAGAAATCTATGCAGAAATACAGAAAACTATGATTTTAATCGTTCTCTCCCTTAATCGTCATCCCGCATCTTGTCGGCTCCCCCATAGCATGCTTTTGGGTGCTGCAGTTTGTTTTTTGACGCCCTGCGTTTTCGCGCGTTTTCGGGCTCCAAGGCTGTCACACATCGATTAGGCTCGAAAACATGCTGCAGGAAGGTAGGATCCGTGGTTCTCGCCTTTTTTTCCCGTACCCTAAGGATGGGGTTCTTGCTATTACTTATACCGCGCGGAACACCTCACATTCACACCTCCCACGCTGAGGTCATCATTCTCCGACTCACTCACATGTAGACTCACTCATATTCAGACTCACTCTTACTCAGATGCACTTGCTCTTAGATTCCTTATACTCAGGTTTCTCATGCTCGGGATCACTCATATGCGGACTCACTCCCACTCATGGTACTTCCGCGCTCAGACTCACACACACGGTGTGAGGATGTCTCAGGCGAGGCGCTGGTTTCAGTACTCCAAAGGGGGGCCGCCAGGGGGTACATCACAGGCCCGTTCGCGCCCATGTTGGGGGAATGTCTCAGGCGGTTTGCCTGTTTGGGTGCCCAACGTCCTTCTCTGTCGGAGCAGTTCCCGAGGATGTCTCAGGCGAGGCGCTGGTTTCAGCAATTCCAAGAGGGGGCGCCAGGGGGTATATCACAGGCCCGTTCGCGCCCAGATTCGCGCCCAGATTGGGGGGATGTCCCAGGCGGTTTGCCTGTTTGGGTGCCCAGCATCCTTCTCGTTCGGAGCAGTTCCCGAGGATGTCTCAGGCGAGGCGCTGGTTTCAGCAATTCCAAGAGGGGGCGCCAGGGGGTATGTCACAGGCCCGTTCGCGCCCAGATTGGGGGGAGGTCTCAGGCGGTTTGCCTGTTTGGGTGCCCAACGCCCTTCTCTTTCGGAGCAGTTCCCGAGGATGTCTCGGGCGAGGCGCTGGTTTCGGTACTCCCAAGGGGGGGCGCCAGGGGGTATATCACAGGCCCGTTCGCGCCCAGATCGGGGGGATGTCTCAGGCGGTTTGCCTGTTTGGGTGCCCAACATCATTCTCTGTCGGAGCAGTTTCCGAGGATGTCTCAGGCGAGGCGCTGGTTTCAGTAATTCCCAAGGGGGGGGCGCCAGAGGTATATCACAGGCCCGTTCGCGGCCAGATTGGGGGGATGTCTCAAGCAGTTTGCCTGTTTGGGTGCCCAACATCCTTCTCTTTCGGAGCAGTTCCCGAGGATGTCTCAGGCGAGGCGCTGGTTTCAGCAATTCCAAGAGGGGGCGCCAGGGGGTATGTCACAGGCCCGTTCTCGCCTTCACGGACGGATTTTCTTCACAGGTGCTCATAGGGAAAGGAGGAGAAAGAGGAGGAGGGGGAGGACGAGGAGGAGGAGGAGGAGGAGGAGGAGGACGGAAGGAGGAAGTATTTACTTAAAGTCGTCGTAGTCGTCGGCGTCTTTCTCGGCCCCGTTTTCCACGTGGATCCGCTGAAACTCGGATATTGAAATGTACAGTGTCTTCTACCGAAGTTTGCCCGCCACTATGAGATGCACATATGGAGTAATTCTCGATGTTGTGTTTTGTCCCAGCGTCGGACCTCTTAGTTATCCCAGCTGGTGTCAACAGGCAGCCCCGTGTATAGTCCAGGGCGGTCCCAACCCTCTGGCGCCGCCTCCGCCGGCGTGTCGAGACCACCCTGGGCTGCTCAGAACTGCCGGGGCCAGCTGGCACTACCTGGCGGGGCGGTCTGTGCGCAACCTGCAGATTGAACAGACCGGATTCGATAGAGAATGCCGACCCCGATGCGGCAGGCTCGGCGGCGACCCCGGACGCGGGCGCTCAAAGTCGAGCGCCGCCGGTGGCCCGGAGCCGCCTCCTCCGCCTCCTCCTCCTCCTCCTCCTCCTCCTCCTCCTCCTCCTCCTCCTCCTCCTCCCCTCCTCCTCCTCCTCCCCCTCCTCCTCCTCCCCTCCTCCTCCTCCGCCTCCTCCTCCTCCTCCTCCTCCTCGTCCTCCTCCCTCCGCTCCCTCCCTCCTCCTCTCCTCCTCCTCCTCCTCCTCCTCCCTCCCTCCGCTCCTCCCCCTCCCCCTCCCCCTCCTCCTCCTCCTCCCTCCTCCTCCTTCTCCTCCTCCTCCTCCTCCTCCTCCTCCTCCTCCTCCTCCTCCCCCTCCTCCTCCTCCTCCCTCCCCCTCCTCTCCCTCCTCCTCCTCCCCTCCTCCTCCCCTCCTCCTCTCCTCCTCCTCCTCCTCCTCCTCCTCCTCCTCCTCCTACCTCCTCCTCCTCCCCTCCTCCTCCTCCTCCTCCTCCTCCTCTCCTCCTCTCCTCCCTCCCTCCCCTCCCCCTCCTCCTCCTCCTCCTCCTCCTCCTCCTCCTCCTCCTCCTCCTCCTCCGCCTCCTCGTCTCGAGCGATCCGCGCCGTCGGGCAGGCTTTCACGAGGCGGAGCGCTGCGCGCGGAGTCGGAGGAACACGGCCGACGCCCTGCCGCAGGGACCTCCTCTTGGTTCGGAGGTGGATAGACCTCCTGGGGGGACCCCCTGGGGTTCCCTTGGGGGTCTTGGGGGCACGTCGGGGCACCATGGGGGCCCTCCCGTTGGGGATGGCTCCTGGGCTCCCCGCGAGTCCCCCTCTCAACGGCCTCTCGTGGGGCCTTCTTGGGGCTTTCCGTATGATGTTTTGCCGTCTATGGGTCGGGGTTGGATGGACTTCCTACCCTGACACGTCGATCGAGGAACTGGCCGTTTTCGGTTCGCGAGAGGGCGTCGCGGCCGTCATTTTTGCGGTCCCAGGCCGTTTTCACTAAGGGGAGGTTTACTCAAGGGAGGTTTGTCCACCGCCGATTGGCCCCCGCTCGGCTCGGCGGTGGTGTCTCGGGAGGCCCTCGCCTGCACGGCCGCGCTCGCCCTGGGTCGGAGGTGCAAGCGTGCCCCTAGGAGAGCAGCCTGGGTTGCTCGCCTGGGGGACTCTCCTGGGGACCGCCACGTGGAAGGATCCGTTCCGCGCTTCACTCCCACTCCAGCTCGATTCCAGCTCGACCTCCTCCTCCTCCTCCTCCTCCTCCTCCTTCTCCTCCTCCTCCTCCTCCTCTCTAGCTCCACTCAAGTTCGACCCCAGCCTGACCCAAAACGGCAGATCTGCGGCGCAGATCCGACGCGGGAGGGGGCGCGAGCGGCTCCAGGAGGGTCCCCAGCACGAGCATGTACAGTCGGCCCGGATCAGTAGGTCGAGCCTGCCAGCTCAAGGGTGCCCTTGTGTCCTGTGCCTCGCGACACGTGCCTTCTCACACTCCTATGGCGATGTGGCCCTCGGAAGGGTCTTGTGTCCTCTCGCGTGTGCTGTCCAATCAAGGCCGACTGCAGTGCAACGGGAGCCCCCTGCGGCACCAGCAGTTTGCAGTCCCCGCGGCCAGGGGCCGCGGCGGCGCCACCCCATCTCCAGTGACCCGGACCACCACTTCGGCCTCCTGCACCGGCTGGACGTGCCCAGCAGCGGACCGCCCTGGGGGGGGGGGGGGGGCCTGCACAGCGGGAGGGCGAGTTGTGGCAGGTGGCAGCATGGGACGCGATTCCCCTGGCATCGCTCGGACGCGTGCATTTTTCCTCGGCGAGGACCCTTGAGGAGCATCCTGGACCATCGAGCGAAAAAAAACACGCACGAGGCCGAAACATGCACGTCAAATGGACGTCCGAGCGACGGCAAGTTCCTGGGAGGCTGACTTCAGCGTCGGCGTTGGTACAGATCCGTGGTCGAAGCTGGTTTGATCCGGCAGGAGCCCCACTTTCTCGACCTGAAGCCCGCTGAATCCGACCGAATCCCGATCCCGCATCATGCCCCTCAGTAGGATTGCCCATAACCGTTCTCCCGAAGTCGTCCCAGCGGGCGGGCGCCTCTTCCTCCCGTGGTCCTCCCGGAGGCCCCCCTCCTCCTCCAGCGTGACCTCCAGGGTGCGGTAGGGGGGGGGGGGGGGGCCTAAGCCTGATGGACCTGTTTTCCACCACCACCACCACCATAAGTTGGAGGGGGGAAGGAGGTGGAGGAGACGGAGGAGGAGGAGGCGGAGGAGGAGGAGGAGGCGGAGGGAGGCGCCCGCATCGTCCCGCATCGTCCCGAGCGGCCGCTGGAGACCTCCATGACCCGATAACCAGATGACGAGGATTGGGCCGGGCGAGGGCGGGGGAGGAGGGGGAGGAGGAGTCAGGAGGAGGAGGAGGAGTCAGGAGGAGGAGGAGACGGAGGAGGCGGAGGAGGAGGAGGCGGAGGAGGAGGATGAGGAGGAGGAGACGTGATGAGGAAGAGGAGGGGGGGAGGAGGAGGCGGAGGAGGAGGAGGAGGAGAAGGCGGAGAAGCGAGGAAGAAGAGGAGAGGGAGGAGAAGAAATAGGAGTCCTCAGCGCCCCCACCTCCGCGGCCCCAGTGCAGGCCTGCTGCTGGCCGCCCGCAGCTACGAGGCGTACTACGTCCTGGCCGCGCAGCTGGCCTCGGGGCGCCTGGCTAGGGACCCCCTGCCCCCTCCCTCCTCCTTCTCCTCCTCCTCCTTCTCCTCCTCCTCCTCCTCCTTCTCCTCCTCCTCCTCCTCCTCCTCCTCCTCCTCCCCGCTACACCTCCTCCTCCTCCACCTCCTCGTCGCTCGCCTCCTCCTCCTCCTCCTCCTCCTCGCTCGCCTCGTTGTTATGTCTCCAGGAGGAGGAGGAGGAGGAGCAGGAGCAGGAGCAGGAGCAGGAGCAGGAGCAGGAGGAGGAGGAGGGGGAGCAGGAGCAGGAGCAGGAGCAGGATGAGGAGAGGGAGGAGAAGGAGCAGGAGCAGGAGGCGGAGGAGGAGGAGGAGGAGGAGGAAGGAGGAGGATGAGACGCAGGAGGAGCAGGAGGAGCAGGAGGAGGCCATCCGAGGCCCTCGCCTCCTTGCCGTGCGTCCTCAAACTGCCACTGGCGAGCCGTCCACCCCCGCGCCACCCCCGCGCGGCGGGGCGCGCCGCCAGGACTACCTCGTGCTCTGCCACGGCCGGGCGCCGCCCGGGCGCGTGGCGGTCTGGGCGGCGGTGGAGTGGGAGCGAGGCGCGCCCGAGGGGGGGCCCGCCGCCCTCCGCAGGGCCGCCCGCGATCCGACCCGTGCGGCTCGCGATCCGACCCGGTGCGACTGTGACCCCATCGGGCACTACTACTACTATCACTACTACTTTTACTATTTTTTTTCTGCTACTACTACTGCTGCTGCTGCTACTACTACTACTACTACTACTAAGAACTACTACTACTACTACTACTACTACTACTACTACTACTACTACTACGACTACTACTGCTACTACTACTACTACTGCTACTACTACTACTACTACTACTACTACTACTGCTACTACTGTTACTACTACTACTACTACTCCTACTACTACTACTACTACTACTACTATCACTACTACTACTTTTACTACTACTATTACTACTACTACTACTACCACTACTACTACTGCTACTGCTACTGCTACTGCTACTGCTACTACTAGTACACTACTACTCTACTACTCCTACTACTACTACTACTACGACTACTACTACTACTACTACTACTACTACTACTACTACGACGACGAACGACGACGACGACGACGACGACGACGACGACGACGACGACGACGACGACGACGACGACGACGACGACGACGACGACGACGACGACGACGACGACGACGACGACGACGAGACGACGACGACGACGACGACGACGACGACGACGACGACGACGACGACGACGACGACCGACGACGACGACGACGACGACGACGACGACGACGACGACGACGACGACGACGACGACGACGACGACGAC